ATTACGATGAACATGTGTAACATAAGCTTTAATTATTTCACTTGATGAATATAAACGCAGGAAAGCGTCCTTCTTCTCAGGGCACTGAATTAAAATTCACAAGATGAATACTAAAACCATGAAAGTAGTAATTTCGATGTCAATTACAACACCAAGCCTCACGAGTTCTTTCGACTATTTTAAACAGCTTTCTCTCATACCACGACATGTCATACACTGACCACCTCTCCATTTTCCCTAACCAGTCCCAACATCGGCAAGTACTGAACAATGTGGATTTCTCTGGGACAACATTTGTAGCACATATCCAAGCCATCGAAATCAGTATTTCCAGATGGTGACACCAATCAAATTATCATCACAATCACTGAACACACATTGTTGCACCTCCGCCTTGCTAACATGGTGTTACCACTGGATGTCAGCAATCCTTCGGAAATAATGACGATAGAACACAGAGTCGTTTGACGTCCTTAACTCGGAGGCCAGGTTTCACAAGTATAGAGCAGAACTGCTCTCACCACCACGAAGGCGCCAAAGATGGTCCAGATTGGCATAAACTGCCCTGGCTTTCATGATACGAGGTGATCTTATCACTCACGCCGCCACCAGGACTTGCTCAGCCATCCAGATACACGAATTCTTTCGACTACTTTAAACAGATTACCACAAAGTGAGTGTAGGCACACATTTCTACTAGTCTTGTAAAAGAACTTCACATTTAGGTGTAAAGTATGTGCCATACATACGGACACTGATTGTCAACTGATAATGTACAATTTTCATGTGCTGATTATCATCGTACAGTAAGACAATATCGTCCTCATACTCAAGATCAAACAGTGCTTCTCTAAGTAATAGATCAACACCACCACTATCTACTTCTGTCAGAGCTGTTTCTAGAATGTTATTCATATCGAAGCTGAACAGGAATGGTGAGATTGAGCAGCCCCGTTCAATCGTAGTCCTGAATTACGACAATAGAGAGAAACGGTTGCGTTTTCTCAGTCTGCATGAGGTGCGACATGACTAGGAATAGGTAATAATGTTGTAAGTGCATTCGCTCTGTCTTCCTGTAGTTAAGACTCTTTACGAAGTCGAAAAAGCTATAGGAAATCTGAAGCTTGGGAGAGCATTAGGCCTGGGCAAATTCACCCGGTGGCTTTTTAAGGATGGCGGTCCAGTATTAGCAGCGAGATTGACTGAGGTCTTAGTTAGAATCTGGGAACTGGACGTAATCCCATCTGACTGGTCTCAATCACTGATGGTGCCAGTCTATAAGAAAGGACAAAAGTCCTCTTGTGACAATCACAGAGGAATTAGTTTGACTAATATAGTGTCTAAAATATTAGCTTCAATATTACTTCGACGCCTAACTAAAGCTTGTAAAGAGCAGACTAGAGAAAACCAGGCTGGTTTTCGACCTGAACGTGGTTGTATAGATCAGATATTCACACTACGTCAGGTCCTAGAACATAGACACACATTCAGACGCCCCACAATAGTCGTATTTCTCGACCTTAAGACGGCATTCGACTCTCTTGATCGCGAGGTCCTATGGCAGTGTTTGTCTCTGAAAGGAGTACCAAAGAAGTACATTAACCTTATAAAGGCTCTCTACTCGAACACAACTGGTAGAGTGAGAGCTTATGGTGAACTGTCATCAGAACTGATTACCTCAAGTGGTGTTCGTCAGGGCTGTCCACTCTCTCCATTCTTGTTTAACTTTGTTGTTGACATCCTTTTAGAGATGACACTTTCCTCATCTGACTTTCCAGGGGTTGAACTTCTACCGAAAGATTCACTTGTTGACTTAGAGTATGCCGATGACATAGTTCTATTTGGTGAAGACGCTGACAAAATGCATTCTGACCACTCTAATCAACAATGCAAGCATGTTCGGCATGCGATTTTCTCCCTCGAAATGCGAGATGTTGCTTCAGGATTGGGTTGCACCGCCACCCGAACTAGTGATAGGGAGTGAAGTAGTTGAGCGTGTCGACCGCTTCACATGTTTACTGCGCAGCAGTTCGTTCCGTCCTATTTTATGGCAGTGAAACATGGCCGGCAAGAGTAGAGGATATTCGTAGGTTACTAGTATTTGATCATAGATGTCTTCGAAACATTGCTCGTATATCCTGGGACCACCGAGTAAGTAACTCAGTCGTTAGGAAACAGGTACTGGGTAAGGATGGCAAATCAATTGATGAAGGAGTGAAACTTCATCAGTTGAGATGGCTTGGACACGTGTAACGTATGCCGACCACCAACTGCCCCAACGTGCGGTATTCAACGGTGTAGGAGTAGGTTGGAAGAAAGCTAGGGGCGGCCAGACCAAAACATGGCACAAATCCATGAAGTCACTGACAAGCGGACTGAGCCATGTTGGTAGGTGTAGACTAGCTGGTTGGGGACCGCGAGATGATAGCAACCGATGGTTAGAGCCCTTGAGTGACATGGCTCAAAATCGTTTGCAATGGCGGAGGTGCATCCGCTCTTTGTGTTCTCTCAATCTCTAATCTTCTGAATTCTTCATGTCCTTTACTTTCTTTCCAAATTTATTCCACTGGATTATACTCCTTGAATAACATCATCAAACCCTAATGTTCGCTATCACTACTTATACTTTCGCTACCTCTACCACTACGGGATTTGAAACGATAACTGCATCTCGAACTGATGTACGTACGTACGAAGTTCCACGTCGTTACTGACTTTTGTTTTATATACCGCAAATTCATTCTTTCTCAAATCACACTGCCTATGCCTAGTCTTTCATTACTGCTAATAATATTACTAATTTTACCAATCTGGAATTTTTTTGGTAATTCTATCTCCCTGAACTTATGTGAGACAAATGGGACCGATGCAAAACCGTGTATGGTTCAACACTGCTTATGACTAACTGATAGATAAGCAGCTGGCCTGAACTATAGGTGTAAATCGGCCACATCAAAACGAGCTTCATGTATCCGTGCCGAGATTACACTAATTCACTACGACTGATGTGAATTCAAGGTACCCCCATGTCTTGATGTAACAATCATTTGGAATTCCATAAAAATCATACAGCCTTGACCCTTTGTGGTTACAACTCATTCATCGAGGATGGACAGAAAAGTCAAACTAATGACCAAGATAATTTGGCACTTTCGGACCATATCATTTAGAGATTTTCTAAGTGGACATTCAATATTTACTCATTTCCCGCCTTCGCTTTAATATCAACTTTTTAACTTGAGATTCCTGATGAAGCACGTGATCAAATAATGTCGAACGAAGTGAACAGATAAGGATTTTTCATTTCTATTGACTGTGTAATTTAGCAAACCACATGAAGTTACTAGGATATATTTTCTAGGAGCACAAGTGAGATATCAACAGACAAACGCAGTAGTTTTCAGATATACAGGATCGTAACTCCATCGATTAAACTATCTCTTCAATCTGGGATTTCAAGCTTAACCTCAATAATACACGTTGACCTTAAGGTCAGCTGTTAGCACCATATATCCCACCCTGGAACGCCGTCTCAACCATATGGCAACACAGGAGAATGTTGCACAATGTACTCTCATTGATAGTCACCAAATCCGTCCGGATTATAGATAAAGATCTACAGTCAACAATCAGCCTCCAAAAGGCGGCATAACCTCCAGAACAAACCGTGTCTTTAAACCTAATCACAACATGCAACTTTCAGATATGATGCACAGTACGCAGTCTTCACTAACTATATTACTTCGTTATCGGGATCTAGATGCGAGGCTCATCCTTAGACTTTAGTTAAGGACGTTTAAAGATTTACGTTAAAGGTGACCTTATTTAACAAGGCTCGCACCAGAGCATTTTGAGCTAGACAAAGTATTTCAAAACCGAAGGCTAATCCATCCTTCTAAGTCAAATATGTGTTCCCATATGCGAGGGTGGTCGCCTCAGCTAGACTCTGAACTGAAATTCATCCCTCATAGGCCAAGAACACGCTAAAACGTCGAAGAAAACTTTAACATACACTTTGTTGCGGCTAATGCGACCTTCACTGCACACGAGACATTTTTGTCGAATGTGGTTTCAAGGCCACTGATCCATTTTCCAATTCCTGGATACAATAGAACCGAGAACTATCATAACAGTTAGGCGTTCTAAGCCAGAATTTTAGCTTTGTAAGGTCATCTTCAGGTGGAGAGATTAACTAACCTGATCAACATCAGCCTCCTCTACATGAATCATGTATTTCGAACAGACGCAGTTTATATACAAGCAAGTCAGACCGCATCGTTCCATAAAATAGAAAATAGAAACTATACAAGATCAGGTTGAAAGTGGCTGCGAGTGTGAGAGACTGTAACTAATAAATTGGGAATAACTCAAGAATAGTAAACCGTATAGTAGTGGCCAATAGGCCAAATGGAAGCTTACAATAAGAATATATATATAACACGGTTACTTAATAATTATACAATGAGAATATATATCGCAAAATCCATAAATAGGTTCTGGCAGTTACCATTCAATTATTCTTCGTCCGAATACGACACCTATGGTTGCCGGGATCCAAGAGTAATTTCGTACAAGATTTGTTCCCTGAGGATGCTGAAGCCCATGTGAGTCGTTGGTTTGGGGTCAGGACCGTTCCCTAACTCTCTTGAGTGTATCCTCCGTACCTACCTTTTTTCAGCACTTCTCTGTTGTATAGCTTGGTAAGTCATACTACTGACTGCGATGAAAATGCACACTTAACATACTATTTTAAAGTATTCGCTGCTTTGAATAAACGTTATTGCAATTTAGAACATTCAGCGCAATGCTTTGTATATATTTTGTTAATAATTAGAGAAATAACATAAACTCATCATATGTTCAAACACAAATATAACACATTTCATTTTACCTCAACCGATACTGTTCAGTTTTATTATGTAAATAATATTGAGTTGTTATTAAACAAATTCATTTAGATTGTTGCCACATATTACGTGGGAGATGATCATTCGATGGAAATGGTTATTCAGTTGCCAAACAACTATCCTTTAAGTCCAATTACTGTTAGTAAAGGGCGTAGTGTTGGTGTAGGAAGCCAACAGTGGCAGTCATGGCTTTTACAAATGTCTGTTTTTGTTAATAATCATGTGAGTTGATAAAAATTTATTTTTTCTTTGTGTATTTCGATATAATCTTTTTTTCCAGTGAACCATTGTTGATTGTGTCTGATTAGCATTTGCAATTAATCACGTTTATAGATACTTGGCTGAATTTAGTGTTAAATCTATAATATAGACTGTAATCTAATGTTTTCATTCGAAATTAGGAGCGTCTCCTTCAATTTCATTTTGAGTCTTTTTTGGTGTGACAGATAATTATTCCAATTGTAATAAATTTTCACTAGTTAGTTCCATAGGTAAGGTATGTCTAAAATGTCAATCAACACTGTATGGTTTAGTGAGTAGAATACTGCTTATGCAAGCATAACAAATAAAACATCACACTCCGAACTACTTTACATCGTGTTAACACGATGAGTTTCAACATTGAATCATAATTCAATATATCAGAGCGTTGATTGTGACATTACAGCTTATAAACAGCATTCCTCGACCATACATTTGAGCTCGATTTAGATATCTTTAAGCTTGTTGCCTTTGACCGAACACTATAACATTAACTGTCTGCTGACTACTAATGAGCTAGTTAGGAAAGAGTGATTTTCATGGACAAAATGAAAGTAGGGAAAAAAAGGAAAATTCAAGTTCTATGGAGTGACTTGGATAAATATTCACTTCAGACTAGCAATTTAATAGTGACCTTTAAGCACATTTTCCGCATCTTATGTTCATCCATAGCACATGTGTCAGTCACTCCATCTATATAAGTTCACAGTTACATCAAATGGTTTGCTCTAAACGCTAACTTAAGCCTTTCCCATTCGGTGGTCTCGTAACATGCGAGCGATAGTGGGACTACTGAGTTTTCGAATTTGTGTCAGTACTGAAAACCACATAGAAGAAAATATATTTAAATGGGTTTTTGAAAAGTTTTACACTTAGTTTCCCTAATTATCTTGAAAATAGGGGGGGACCGTGTATGTGAAGTTTCCTAGGAAAATACCCCTCTGCACATGTTGTTTTTGTAAGATAATCAGAATTTGGGTGGAACAAAAAGCGTTCAAACAATACAATCACTACAAAGTGATATGTTCACTTCTATATATCGAACTTATTAAAGAACACGTCATCTAAAATACACTCATTCCATAATTCGTATTCTGAAATGTGGTTGTTATTATTTGTATCAAACACCCAAATTTAACGGACTTTTATTAAACAGGTTCCATGAGTGTGAATTAACACCATTAAAACGATATATTATCTAACCTAACTCTCTTGAATTGAATTAGTATTTTCGCTTCTCTGTGTTGTTTGTGTCATTTAGAATGGATCAATTTTAGATGGTATTGATTTATGGCAAAGTAATGTTCGGAAAAAATTCAATGGTGTTGAAGAATGTGCGATTTGTTACTCGATTGTGCACAACACAAATTTCAGTTTGCCTAAAATGCGATGTCATACCTGTCGTAAACTATTTCACTATGCTTGCATGTACAAATGGTTTACAACTAGTCGAAATCCTGCTTGTCCATTGTGTAGACACTTGTTTATCGATCCAACCGGTCGTCCTATGTCAACATAATGGGTAAAGAAAAATCTGATGATCGATGCAGCAAGAAAATGTAGTATTTCTAATTAATCTGAATCAAATGATTATTTGTTTCATTCATTCACCATAAATCTTGTTTTTTGTTACTTTCGAGAAGAATTACTCTTTTTATTTTTAAGTAGTTATTATTATTATATTGTTTCTGAACTGTTCTGTGAAACAAAAGCTATCCGAATTTTCTGTATGTTTAATGTGGATGCAAAATGATTGTCAACTTTCTTTATGGTGAATTACTTTTTGAGAAAATGTACAAATGATGATACAGATTTCAGATATCTGTATTGTGTTAGTTCTTTCCTAGTTAGCTTGTGTGTCTGTCCTAAGGCAACGGGTTCCAAGGGTTGGTGACTCGGCGAGAAAACCTGTATGCTACGGGTATTCGTTCATCCTTGGCTTTCAAACTCACTTGTTATGCTATCTGATATGTCCTGATCTAATAGGAAGTAATAGAAAAAATATATCAGGTCCGACATCGTTCCTCAGTATTCTATACAGCTGAATCAGATCACCTTTGGATAAGCGATAGAACAAAGTAAAGAGGTCTGACTTCTCTTTTCGGTCCGTGTAAACCTATGTGGATCATCAACGTTGATGATCTCTGTCCAATGATTGAGGGCCTACTCAAGCCAGACGGGAATGGTGTGACCAACAACTAATGTCGAAGTCACAATTCGCGATTAGCACCTTACGTGGATTGCCCCTTCGTCGTATCTAGGTGCTATGGATGTTTTGAAGACCGTACAACACAAAGGGTGTTATTACAGAAATATTTAAGTTGAAGTAAGTACAGGTGAACGTGTGACCACCTCCGCATAGGCCAGTACATGGCGTACGATTAACTGACACGCGTCACTTATCCTTGACTTGGACATGGATCGATGATCTGTTCGATGTTCGGTGACCCAACTGCCGGATAATTTGGCTAGGGCTCAGTGACATTTCGTTGGCCCTGCACCTCTGTTAAACCTCGGGATTCTCAAATCCCACTGGTAGTTAGCTTTTGTAATCCCTCCAATTTATGACAGTCGTTTCCAAGAAAAGTCTATCATGACAAGAGATTAGCAATAGTAATATTATTAGTAATCTTGATAGGAATTATTGTGGCAGTAATTAAAAGTCATGAGACAAGCATCAGGTTCAGCTGTTCCTGACGAAGGAAAGTAAACCGTCTTGATTTGAGTTATAAACAATTTTAACTGCATTGTACGTGATTTTTTACCATGGGAACCTTTAACAGTATAGTAGGAGCTTTAGCATCGAGGTGTGTTATATTTAATAAGAGAGATGTTTTAAACTACGGGAAATGGTGCAGTACTTCATAACTGAATAGACGGTTCTATTTTTCAACCATTTACTAGGCATATTAAGTAAATTTATTTTTGGGAGGCGTCAGCTCTTCCTATTGAGCTATTTGGAATTTTTCGAGATTATTGGTCATTATTAAATGGTACAACGGACAATCGAGTAACCGTGTTATTATACAGTTTGACTACTATCATCGACTTTAAGTAACTCAAAGAATATTCGTAAACAAATTTTCAGGTAAACATGAGTTATGTGCAACGATAAGGTACATTCGCGCAATCAAATGGCTGATTAACATTACTTGAACTCAAAAAATTGTAACTGTGTCTTAACACTAAGACTAAAGAATTTAATATGTTTACTCCAAGTTATCACAAAGATATTGAAAGTTGACCGAATTTTGAAATGAAGGTTGTAGACTGTGTTCTCAAGGTCGTCTTGTGTGCTTTGTTATTTATCTGAAAATCTTTAAGCCAAAATATCAGTGTCCGTTAGCACTCTGAATTCTTTTGAGTTATAAGATCATATCTAAAATAAAAATATTACAAATTGAGCTACCCCGATATGATTATTTAATCCTGTTGATGTTTCCGTATAAGTTTTTCCTAATAATTGTTGTCTTTAATCGCAAATCACAGCTCAGTTAGATAAATTGTTCGCTTTAAATTCTCATATTCGTGGTAGATGTCGTTGGAGTTTGGTTTTGATTGGATATAGGTTCTGCAAGTTACCTTGGATACTAGATGAGTAATTTTTTTGTGAGATTATAATGCACTCAGCTTATTTTATTGTAAGGTTCACGCGGCTATTCAACCGGGGTTAGTGACGCTTCTGATACAAGGCATAAATGGCTTTATACTGTCTGTATTCGAATTAAATCACACAAATTTTGTTGCATTTATTGAAAAATAAATGTTTTCCCAGCGGCGTTTATATTATTGGCAAGTGGCAAAAAGCGTATCGGGTCTCTTCATTTCACGGATCCTCTAATCATCTCTAGATGCTTTTAGTGATATTGCTATCATTATTTGCTACATTTTTAACTGTCTATTCTTGAGACGTCTAGTAAGATATGATAAAGGTACCTAACCACGTATCTTCATCAATGGAGGTCGTTGCTCTCATAGTTTCTCTTCACTTTTGCCTTCAACGATGTTCTGGAAACACTTCTCAGTACAATATCTCGTGTTCGCATGTATCTATTACCTTAAAAATATATTCCCATCTTGTATAAATAATCTCTCAATATATGATTAAATGGGAGTTACCTAAATTGTGTCTTATCGGTTGGGGACTAGTGGGTTACTAGATGAGTAATTTTTTTGTGAGATTATAATGCACTCAGCTTATTTTATTGTAAGGTTCACGCGGCTATTCAACCGGGGTTAGTGACGTTTCTGATACAAGGCATAAATTACTTTTCCTTGTCTGTTTTACTAGTGATTGAAGCTTGAGCTATGTGTTTTTTCTTAACTCGGTGTTGTAACTTGAAGACGAATATGCTGGAAAATAATTCTTAAATAACTTATAGTTTTGGTTGTACAGCATTGTGTATTTATTTATTTGAACACATAAATATTGGTACAGGGGGGCACCAAATATATATGCGCCACACAAAACAATGATAATTTGAAGAGAAGGAGAAAAAAAAGTAATGAACGTGGGGAATTATAAAAAAAAAGAATGAGAGAACAATGATGGGGAAAATGGAAAGGTACAATCAGAAGAGATCTTTCAGTTAAGGAAGATACAACCACTTTTTATGAAGAAAGTAAAAGGTTACAGCACGATCGCCACTGGCTTCTATTCTGAACCATATCTGATAACGTCTCTAGCCACTGTGTTACACCGTCTCTCGGACCCCAGCCAGGGAGTCGTGAAGGACCAACAGAAGCTAGCCCTTTTGCAACTTTCTTTCATACCACGACACCATGTCATATACTGACCACCTCTCCGCTTTTTCCAACCAGTCTCAGAGTCGGCAGATAATGCACGACGTGGAATTCTCTGGGACGACATTCGTAGAACATGTCCAAGCCACTGAAGTCGGTGTTTCAAGATGGTGACACCAATGGAATTATCGTCTCTGTGCCCGAACACACGAAGTCGAACCTCTGCATTACTAACATGGTGTTGCCACTGGATGTCAGCAATCCTTCGGAGACAGCGATGATCGAACACAGAGAGTCGTCTAACATCCTCAACTCGGAGAGGCCAGGTTTCACAAGCATAGAGCAAAACTGCTCTCACCGTCGCGTTGTAGATCCGACCTTTTACAGCCAGACTAACATCACGAAGGCGCCAAAGGTGGCCCAGATTTGCATAAGCCGCTGTGGCTTTCACTATGCGTGCATTGATCTCATCACTCACGCCACCACCAGCACTTATGCAGCTACCTAGATACACGAACTTCTCGACTACTTCAATCTGCTCACCGTCCAGAGTGAGTACAGGATTAGAATCCTGCCAGTCTTGTAGAAGTACTTTGCACTTCGAAGGTGCAAAGCACATACCATACCTACGGACACTGATTGCCAACTGATTAAGTGCGGATTGCATAGCTTGGGCATTCTCGCACAGTAAGACAATATCATCCGCATACTCAAGGTCGAGAAGTCTTTCTCCAGGCAACAGATCCACACCACCATTACTTACATCCGCCAGAGCTGTTTCCAGAATGTCATCGATGGCAAAGTTGAAGAGGAATAGTGAGATTGGGCAACCCTGCCTAACTCCACTGCTTGAATGGAATAGTGGAGAAAGGTGATTGTATGCCCTCACTCTGCCTGAGGTGTTTAGGATGTTAATAAACTTCTCAGACACACCCTTCTTCAATAGACAATCCCAGAGAACAGTCCTGTCCAACGAATCGAAGGCAGCCCTGATATCAAGAAACACTACGATTGTTGGCCTTTGATAAGTATGGCGGTGTTCTAACACTTGGTGGAGGGTGAAGATATGATCAATACATCTTCGACCAGAACGAAACCCAGCCTGCTCCTCGCGAGTCAATCGTTCTCGGGTTCTGAACAACCTACGAAGTATGACGGAAGCCAATAGCTTGGACGCAATCGGAAGTAGACTTATCCCCCGATAGTTGTTACAGGAACAACGTGAACCCTTTTTAAAGATAGGGACAACTATCGACTCATTCCATGACGTTGGTACACTCTCTAGTTCCCAGACCTTTGTAAACAACGTCGTCAGTCCCTTAGTCAGAAAGTCACCACCATCTTTAAAAAGAGCCGGAGGTAAGTTATTTGGGCCCGGTGATTTGTAACTTTTCAAGAGTTGGAGTTCCTTGCGGACTTCCGCCTCATTTGGTGGATCAGTCGTCACCGGCCATGGAGGGCAGGACAGTCTGACCGATGTTGCCGGAGCAGCAGGCCAGTTGAACTGCCCTTCAAAGAATTCTGCCCATCGTCCAAGACGTCGATGGATGTTAGTGGTTGGCGTTCCGTCATCCTCGCAGATTGTTTCGCTCACACCAGACTTCTTGCTGCCAGTGGCTCGGATGAGTTGGAAGAGCTTCCGGTAATTACCAGATGCAGCTGCTGCTTCCAGCTCATTAGCACGCTCCGACCACCAGGCTTCTCGGTCCTTACGCAAGCTTTGCCCGATTTCATTACGTAACATCCTTCGTCTGTGGTCAAACTCACGGTCACCCGGAGTAGACCGACGGGCTTCAATGAGTTGTAAGGAACCAGAAGAAACCCAGTGCTTGTAAGCGGGACGTTTCGCAAACCCACAACTGACTGTACCCGCCATTTTCATGGCGTCATGCAATTGCAACCAATGCTCATCTATACTTTTCGGTGGAATGGTAGCTAGCCTAGAAGCTAGCTCGGTTCGGTACTTACTAGCAACAGAAGTTGCAGCCAGCTTGCTAACATCAATCCTTTGGTGGCGGTCACTTTGTTGTCCACTGAAAAGTAAGGTAAGATTGGCGCAGACCAGAGCATGATCAGATTCCAGATAGGTACTCCAAAAGGAGAGGCAGTCTTGTACACAACCACGCCAGCGGTAGCTGATCGCGATGTGATCAATCTGTATCCAGGCTTGAGATGCAGAAGGGGGACTCCAGGTGGCACATCGGCGATGACTGTGCCGAAAGTTAGTGCTAGCCAGAAACAGGTTGTGGTCTGTGCATAGTTGCAGTAGACGGTCCCAGTTATCTGTCCTGCGACCAACGAGTCCCTATCGGCCACCTAAACGACTCTCTTCTGTGCCTAGACGCCCGACCTGAGCATTCAAGTCTCCAGCTAGTACTACAATATCTGTCGAGCGCACTTTCTGGAGAAGAACAGTTAGCTTATGGTAGAACTCATCCTTGATTGCATCCGGGCTGCAATCTGTCGGGGTATAGGCGGAGATGACGGCATTGTGTAGTTTTCAGTACTAATAATTTCAACAGCATTGGTGTGCTTAGGTAGGTTTGTAAATCAAACATGACGAGGAATTTTAGTGATTTTTGCACATACTCATCATTATGAGCAATTGTATATTCTGATCACAGTGATTAGTCACTTGTTCATTACGCCGCTCTAACTTCTGGTCGTTTAAAGAATTACTTTTAGTCACTGGAGGTAGCGTTATTCCACACGGATCTAACCTCAAACTTCTTTCTAATAGGGTTTATATTCCTCTGTTCTTTTTACAAACATCTTGGTTACGCTATCAAGTAAAGAAATAAACAAAGTTGCATAGCCATGTGGCATTTTCATAACAGTTACTTTTTTCATGTATCTCCATATTTGGTCGCCCAAACGTACTTAGGTTCCCAGTTATGTATACTGACGTAATCAATTAAATGCTTTACTACTATACAGCTATTACATATCCTCTCACGACACTTTCATTTACTGTTTCTTTGTTTCCTAATGTTTCTGATCTATGTTTAGATAAATAATGTCTGGCAGAAACGGTCATATAATTAGTCAGAGTAATGTAAAGAGCGAACCGTCGGTTTCAACTTGCCTACCGGATAGGAAGACTTCAGTGAGTTGAGATGAATTCTATTCAGAAGTTTTTTTAATAACTTATTTATGTTATAACAGAATGAATATTGTAGGGGTCGGAATTGACCTTTCAAATTATTGTCATTCATAGTTTTGCATAATTACTAGATAGCTAGATTACTATATATATTATTTCGTTTCGTTAAACCCATTAAATATTTTTTACGACTCTCCATCCCTAATTTATTGCTAGCCTATTATTTAGTTTTCCCTAATCATAGCCACCCTGTGCTTGTTTATGTGTAATTGTTTTTTCCCATTCTATGATGTGATGCATTCTGGTATATCTATATAAATTATGTCTGTTTAAAATGCAAATGAAGTAGAGGTGGGTCGCTACTTCCGAGTTCAAGGGTAGTGATACAGGAGAGTTAACCAATGTTAGAGCAATAGGAACCTGACTCCGTGCTCACTGTCAATAGTGCTGGTCAGACGTGTAACAAGTCAGAGACACTAAGCTATAGAATAGATAGCAAATCAATTTATAATCAGGTCCCTAATTGGTAACTGGGCACGCGATATTGACCGGTGGTCACAAGATAACAATTTACCTCATGTAAACTACCAAGATGAATCATCTTTGTGGTTATCACATATCAAAGCAAGCTAAAAATCCTGACAGTCATCTTTAAGACTACTATATAATTTACGAATTAGTACCTTTACGAAATCAAACCCAGAACCTTCAGGTTATTCAACGACCCTGCTACTGATTAGCCACTGAATTAAAGTATATTCTTCACTTTCGAATTATAGCTTGTTCATAACAGCTCGAATATTTCTTAGCATCACTGACTTATCTAACTTATCTAAGCTCTTCAAGTTTTGCTAGAAATTAAATTTACATGTACAAGGTAGTATTGACTGTATCCATCCTTCCTATAATAACCTCAGTTCCACGTCTAAATGAGTGCAAATAACGTGACTAGGTAACTTCCTATCCAAGGTTTCTCCACCTTTGAGACATGACTGAATCTTCAAAGTGGGACTATCATTATTTAATTTTGTTTGACACAAGAAATTCGTACACTACATATCGGTACCATGATAGCTTGTATACGACCATTTTAGTGTCCGGGTTATAACCATGATTGGTGGTTGGAGACTTTAATTGAGTCACTTACATGATCGCAGATCTATTCACACTTTTCTTTTTCTAAGCCTTGAGTCTCAATACTATTTCATGCATTTTGTTCCTCCAATACGTCTTTTTCGCACCATTTTTTCCAATATGTAGACTCTCTCGCGTTTTGATTAACACTACTATTATTTGGATTTTTGTCATTGATCCTTTTCATTTCGTCTCGGTGTGTGATTTAGTGTAGAAATGTAAGCTAACGTGAATTATTGTCTGACTGACTGACTTACTGCTATTCTATATTATCCCATTTACACTGAAACTTGACAGAGCAATTTTTACACACATTTACATACTAAGGTTGCCTCAGATAGAAAATCTCATTGATTCACCTATCTTATCCAACTAGATAGCTTTTAAGTACACGAGATAATTAGCTACTAAAGAGATTTGTTTATCTAAAAACATCTATTTCCAACCTTTAGGATGATGGCACACTTTCATTCAGTATGTCTGTAGTAAATATGTATGATTATTGGAACCTATCTACAATAAAAATTTTTCCAGATTGGATCTAATTGTGAGTTTAGTTAACAATGAATAGTAATTTTGAGAGTGTGTGAAAGTGATATGTTTCACAGTTTTTCAGAAATAATACAGATACGCTAGGATTGGAGTTTTAATTCCGTTGTCAGGTTTCAGGGTTTTCAGAAACGCTTCCACTTTACTTAGTGATCAGCTACATTCCTTATTACAGACTTTATTGCCATTTTTCCTTTTTATACGCCTTGTCTTGTAAGAAGCTATTTGAAATTCTCATCTAAACTGTGTAAGAATATCCAACTATGTTAGAATAATGTTCCAGAATAAGATCTATCATGTCTCTGCATGTTAAGTTCGAAATTTATAATTGCACTTTTGCTCTGACAAATTTTTTCACAGCAGGGATCTGTTTCTGTTGTTGTTTCATATTAATGGAGTCTAAGCATAAGTAGATTACTCTATTAGTTCACCTCCCATAATTTACTGCCAAGTTTAAGGGATAGAATGATGTTATTTTCTTTATTCTTGCGTTCATTTCTAGATTCACGCTCATGAGACCAAACAGCCTTTGCCCAATAATAAGTAACTAATATTTATTTTCATATCATTGTATGCTAGACACCCCGTAAATTTTGATATTTTGCTCAGTTTTACCATATTTTCTATAGTTCATAACCAACACAATTCAAAACGTGTTAAAGTATTCGCATTTATTTTCAAACTTCTGGGTTTTTCAGAGTTTGGACCACAGTGGGCCATCTGTACCAACTATGTTAGCATACGTTGATTTTCGCCCATGGTTTAAAGGATGGGATCAACTTGACATAAATGATCAGGACAAATTGAAGGACCTAGTAACATTTGATTCCAACAATCAAATTGACTAATATCTGAATATCTTATGATGTATTAAAATTATCTCCTTTCATGAACTTCAAATTTCTTTGGACTGATGAATCTGGTGATATCTGAAAAAATGTAGTATCTCCAATTCTACTCCTACTATATTCTATGTCTCAGTATCAATTACGGATCCAATTATTTTCAAACTATTTGTTCTGTTTTGAGTTACCCATGGGTAATAATATTTTAACGTGCATATTTTGTAATACCAGAATACAACATTTTAATAAGAATTTGTGTTATATTTTCCATGTGTGTTTGAAATTTATGTTGAATGCTCGCACCAAGAATGATGAAAGCGATTTTGAAGCTTCCATTTTCAAATCCAAATATCCACAAATGGAACATATTTCTGTTTATTTCAAGGGAACATAATAATGGTATTTTACAATGTAGTTCGTTTACTATATACAGATTTACATGCTCTTTTCTAACTCGTACCGTTTGATTGAAAATATGGCATCAGTTTATCATAGTAAAACATTATACATAATAGTTTATTCCCAATGGGTTGCTAATATTTTCATTTCTACTATGTCCAACTTTTCGGAAGCCACGTTAAGGCGTATTTTTATTGTCTAGAATCGTCAAACTGCTATGAAACTTTATGTTTCAGGAAATAACTCTTAGATGTAACAGTTAACGATAAAGAGACCAATGGAAGTTATTTAAGGTCCAATGAGATTGTAGTGGATAACCCTACCTACTAACTATTACAATACTCTCAGGATTATTGGTTTGTACTTAACTGCACTCCAATCTGAGAGGCAGGATATTACGATCAACCATCACCGAATAAGTATTATTTAAGACCGAAAATGTCCACTAGTTACCTACAAATTAAAGGGTAATGACGTTTTTAAACCGTGTTAATCTGAGATGCCTCATTATGTAATAAGACCAAACAAGTTCCGACATATTATCTTGACACTCCGTACTGTAGTTATCTTTTGTATTTTAAATTATGTAAGAAAATGGTCAGGAATTTTCTGGTCATAGTAATCAATGTTAATCTTATATTATGGAAAAATTGAGATTTCGGTGGTATATAATAATGAACATGTTGCCAGAAGTTTACAAGTTTTATTTTTTATTATCTTTATTTTTCATCATTTCAGATGACTCGTAGTGAGCAACAGTTCGAACAACGACCTCATCGACCTAAAAGGGCATTATCAAAAATCAGTGACGTAAGTTTATAGCAATGTGATTAACTCAGCTAGAAGTATCAATGAGTATTCTGATTAACCGTTACATGCAATGATAATTTGCTAACAAGTTTGTCCTTACTATGAGTTAAGTTGTTCTAGACATTTCGGGCATACGTGTTATTGGTGACTTATTCTGTTTGATGCCCATTCCACTCATTCAAGTTGGTCAAGTCTTCTTGAAAAAGCTTATTGGCCTGTCTGAACCTTTGCTTCAACTCATACAGGCACACGTGTCCGTGCTAAGATACATGTTTTACGAGTATAACCATCACAACACCAAGACCCAGTGTTAGATTTGCTACTGTTGAGAGGGCGAAATTGAACCCACACTTACTTGGCGAATATTCATGACATGCACGCTAGAAGCATACAAGTTTGATACTAGTGTGTTTCATAGTATACAGATCTGCATAAATACTTCATGTGGTAACTAAATGCCAGTATGTTTGATTCGCCAAGTACACATTGCACATACACCAGAAATGTATAGGTACAAGACCAGCTCATTCCATGGCATATGTAAGCATATATGACGTCTCTTTGATTATTAGTGTTGTTAGTTCAAGTATCCGTTACACGCGCAACCGAAGTATACATATTAAATCAACCTATGAATTCCGGGCATACGTATAAGCGTAAATGTGCTCATGTGTCCAACACGAGTTAAAACATTTTAATCCGTTTTTTGATGCAGATTGGTGGATTTATCCGATCCTCATCGACCGCTCAAGTTGGTTCGTGTTACAGATACCCACGCACTGCGACTAACCCTGAATAAGATATTGCCATGTATTCCGTCTAGAAAATTCTTTGTCACTCTCACTTTTGATTTATTAATTCATTTGCTTGATGTCTTCATATCGTCCAGAAATACATGTCCTTCAGCTTAACGATAAATGAGCTTGTCTTATGTATCCTATTAACTAAACTACAAGAGTGGCTGATTAACCAAATTCTAGGATTGTTCATCACGGTTTGTATGATTTTTTTCAACAAAATAGGGACTGTTTTAGAACTATGAGACAATTTTTTGGTATTGACGAGTGTTATGATCACTCCTATAACAACCCATCTACACTTATTGCTTAGTATTCTGTAGACACTTTACTCCACTTGACCAGTCTCCAAATCAGAACACGGTTGAACAGGGACGTAATTATATTCCAAATAGACAAGGTCGAGTGGGGGTAAGAATAACAATAAGAAGAACGTCAGCATATTTATAATTTTACAGAAGATTCTAGAGTCTTCTCCAAGTATCCGACAGAGTTGACTGAATAAGAAATACCCAATCACCATACTCCAACTCAGTCCTGCACGAACCACACTTTAATCTAATCTATATCCCGCCAAAAACGTGTTATCGAGATCTAGAAGTGATGACGTATTCAGGATATGTAGACATTCTGTTAGTTGGTTTGTATGTTAATTGAAATGTTGCTTGAAATATTCATTTGCTTAGTTCGTGAGTAAAAAACTACAAATCTACGGGAGAAAGTAATAGTTCTTAAAAGTTTCCGAGTCTTCCGATCGCACTAGGCAATATTGCAAGCATGATCGGAGTACTTTTTTCTCCTTCAAAATGCAAAATCCTGCTGTTGAACTGTTCTGCGTCGACTCCTAAAGTAGTTAATTGCATTGACAACGTCACTTATTTTTAAAGTCCCATCAGTTTATGTGGGTTGGGATCTGACAAAATCTCGGGACAAATTCAGAAAGCCTGATTGGGCTTTGTCAACTTTCGTCACTTGTGACGTAGGCAAGATGTCTGCCTGCAAATCAAGAAATGAGAGTATTGCTAAGCAGTTCTTTATGTACTACATTATCACTGGAACATGAACATGAGTAGCAAGCATGTATAGGCTGCAAGTTTTTGATTATAAGTGTCTTCGAAATATTGTTTCGTTTTCATGAAACTACTGAGTGATCCATGTTGAAGGTAGAAAAAAGTGGCAAGTCGGTTGCTGGGGTTGCAAATCCTTAATGATCAAGGTGGTCCAAACATTTTACATATGTCTGAACATCGCCCTGCCAAACAGGAGATTTTGGTGATATAGAAGTAAAAGTCTATCTTGATTGCATCTTTATTAAGACAGTATACTTTGGAACGTCTAGAAGTCCTTAAATTGATAAAGAACTTCAGAATTTTGCTTAAATGTGATATTCTTGGCGTTTTGATGCTCTATCAGAGTGTGCATCTTGAGAAGGATTACATTTTAGAAATCTAATACCTCCAAATCGTTATTCGAAATCACGACTCTCTATGTGTCTCACTTAACTTTTTTAATTTTTAGGACAATGTTTTAGGTATTTCTTGGAAAGAAGAACAGGAATTACGCAAAGCCATGTATGTTTCTCTTAGAGATCAACAACAAACAAATTCGGACTCCAGTCCTTGCAATCACCTCATGACTTTACGTTTCCAATTGGTAAAGCAACCAAGTATATCAGGACCTAGCAGTACGAAATTGGGTTTAGCGAAGCCACGGTCAACCATTCAGTTTAAGCATGCTAGAAAACAAATTCGCCCAAAATTTGTCTCTGGGAATACCATCTTTTCTAAAACTAGAAACGCTCCCGAGAGTTCTCCAAATAAGGAAGTATTAAAATGTGATTCAAACAGCAATAAAACAAATGTAAGTGGATGTTGTATGTGCCATATGTTTCAGCCTGGTTGTATCTCTATGCAAGTTGCCTTTAAGTTTCGGTATTTTAGTACTCACTAGCAGAAAAGCCGTAATGTATTTTGTGCCTCGTTTTTTGGTCTTATTTGAATGAACTTCCTCTAAATGAAATTACTTCATGAGTACCTGTTAAAGTCGTTTGTCTTACTATTAAGTGTAATTGTTTTCAAAGCTGATAGGAATTGAATGATTAGAAAACAACTTGTTTTTATTGCTAATGGATATTATTTTTTTTCAGCTTATGATTTGTTAAGTTATCATATTCAAACAAGCTGGGTGAAAATGAAAGTGTAGTCACATGCTGTTTGAATTATCGAAGCATATCCAAAAATTAGGATCAGTCTTTGGGATGTGTGATAACATAGATGCAGCAACGATGTATCTAATTTCCTTTTAAGCAAATATCTTTCACTGTGTCTTTATTTATTTGGTTGCGTATTGACATACAGAATAAGTCACGTTAAAGCCATTATCTCTGAAATATGGAACACTATCTATCATCCTTTGTTGTACACCTTCTGTGTCGCAAAAAACAGCTCTCCGTGTTATCGGTACTAGCTTTACAAATTTGTTTGTGAATTTTTTCTCACAGTTTTAACTATATCTTCGCAGACTAATAATCGATAAGGTATATGTCCGTGGACTGCATCTCACCGTTGGGATTTCACACGAACGAGGACAGACCACGAAAATCACAACTGATACAGTTTTTACAATAATTTTATCGTATACCGCAGGCTTTGCAGCTTCATAGTAAGTCCTAAGAGACGGTCTTTGGCCACAATTTACCTTGTAGCTACGATTCGTATAAAAAGACCTATCATAAGTATGATGCACCCAAACGTCGTAGAAGATCTTACAAGTCAGTTTTACAATGTACGATTAGTAGAATCAGTGTTCATTTAATCTAAAATAAGAACCAGTTATATACCTTTTCACCATGGTTTTACATTTTTGCTCACAATTTTGAGTCCCGTCAATCCTCTAACCAGTTAAATGTTAGTGTTTCTTCCTCGCCAAGATGTAAGACAGATTTACTACACAATCAAAAGTCGAGAGAATGACTTGTACGGTTATATAATTATGTAC